GTATAAAAATACAACTGCGTGAAACACACAGTAGTATAAAAATACAACTGCGTGAAACACACAGTAGTATAAAAATACAACTGCGTGAAACACACAGTAGTATGAAACGTCAACTGCGTGAAATACACAGCAGTATGAAAATTCGGCTGCGTGAAACACATAAACTTCACGCGGGTATGGAGTGTACGGGAGTGATTCACGCAATGGTGCGAATAGTCACGGCCATTTTTCTCCAACTTTTTCTCCGTGCGAAAATGACCGATTATGATTTTTAAAATTTTACATGTATACACACGGAGAAATAGTACATTCAATACTAGAGCTCGAATTACGTTTTCCACGAATGTGAATCTGTGCTCACATTCGCTGAAAACGAAATTTATGGCAGAGTGCTATATTAGTACATCACGGCACTAAGGCACAAATTCTGTTTTTGGCGAAACTTATGTCCGAGAGGTCTATCAGTACATCAGAGCACCAGGGCACAAATTTAGTTTTTGACGAATGTGATACCTGTGTCCTTCCGCCTCCAAAGGTAAAAAAAGTAGAAAAAATCGTCCTCAAAACCCTACTTTATTTACTCGAATTAATTTCCTAACTCAAAAAAAAATATATTAAAAAAATATGTCTCCATATCGCTCTTCAAGAATCACAAAAAATAACGAAAAAGTCGCCACACTACAACAATTGGCATTAACCAATTCCAGATACCCTCAATTTATTTCCATTTTTTCTCCCTAAACATCATGCGAGAATCCCCAGTGATTCGTAATCTATTATAGGTGGATGTTGTACGACGATAACCAGAAAACGGATGTTCATTATAATTCTCTAAATGGCGAGGGCAACTTCAACTGGAGATTTGTATTTCGCTTCACCTATTCACGATCGGAAAATCTCATGGTTGTGAGGAGAAAGCTCTCGGTACTCGCACGTGATACGACTGAGCAAAAGCTACCCTGCAGATTGAATATACAAGTCTGGGACAGCGATCATTTCTCCCAGGATGACTTTTTAGGTAAAAATCACAGTGCCACACGAGGCGGTATTTTCGCCGTGGATAAAGTTTCCCGGAGACGAGACAAATCTCGCTCGAGCTGAACTCTCATCCCCCTTTTTAGCCAGTGGGTATCGGAAACTGATCGTTTAGTTGAACGAACTGAGCTTCGAGGATCGATGACCGGGCGTTGTCTCGTCAGTTTTATTGCACTGGCTCTGCCCAAATCTGGAGAATAAAAAAATAAATGTTTCATTGGGATTATGACGTGTGGAACTAGGGCAGGGTAAACAGGTCAATTTCTGGACGGGGTTAGTTTTTGGACGATTTCAACGTGCATTGAATATTCCGTAAATAAAACGAAAATTTTACTAATTATTTTTCCCAATCGGATTTCAACCAATCAGAGCGCAGTATTTAAGGCTACCCGACAGTTTTATTTCGGATATTTCCTCCTAGCTTTTGAATATTTCGCAGTAGTTCTTCCCTTCTTTTTNATACAAGATGAATTAAATTAATTTTTTCGGCTCATTTCAGATAGAATCTTATATTTGACAGTCTATGGAAATTGGGTATTTCTATTAACATAATTTGTTCAAATCTTCCCCAATTCACCCCCTGATCGTGTCCACTGCACTCTGCTTGGCCAAAATCCGATTGGGAAAAATAATTCGACAAATACCCCTCGAGATTCAAAATTAATCGGGTATTTCCCTCAAGCTCCCCTGCAAACAAACCATCGTGCCAAGTTTTGCAGAAAAATCCCTCGCGCAAGCGTTCGGGATTTTTTAACCTGCAAAACTTGACACCCTCACGTGTTTGCAACGAAGTTCTCGGGAAATACCCGATAATTTTGAAGCTCTTGGGGTATTACTGGTGATTATTTCACCTTTCAACAATATTACTCGTGTATAACCGTGTGATCAATTATTTTTTCCATTCATCGACATTTAAGAAATAAAAAAATATGGCCCAGTCGTCCAGAAATTAGGGGTTTTGGCTGCATTCAAGTATTTCTTGATTTCATTACTCTTTGTTTCGTTATTTTCACTTTAAATAATTTTTTTCTGTTAATTAGAATATTGTTGAGGGTATAGAAGCCATTATATTTCCACTTAGGTTATTCTTCTATTTTAGATCCTACCACGAAAGTCGAATTTCCCTTAACCGCCCAGCAATTGGCCTGTTCACCCTAACCAGACCAATCGATAGACGGTTAAGGACATTTTGAGGTCCGTCAAGAGATAAAAAATTGATAGATCACTTAAATACGCTAACGATGGGTTCTATACGTGAAAAAATATATGAATTATGGGAAAATAATGATTTGAAGTGCAAACAATGAAGAATGAATGATAACATGAAGAAAAAGTGGGGTACAGCCCAAACACCCAGTAGATAGACCACTGGGCAGAAGACAGACGGTCGTATTTAATGGTTATTCAAACAAATTTATCCTTCTGCATGTTTAAAAATGAAGAATGTTCCTTTTCGATAATAATAATCCAACAGATACCGTGTTTATTTCTCTTGATGACTGTTTTTTCACATTGTTCCGTCAACACTGCGTGACTGCACGTGTGAGAAAATCGTGTAGAAATTTTCTGTACGAATTGCCTATAGAAATTCTGTAGGATTTCCGTTTATGATATTCGGATATTTCGATACAAATATTTCCTATAGGAATTATTTCTATACAGAAATTTTTACGTAAATTTTTATTTTCATACGAAAGATATCTAAACGCTCAAGAGAAAAACGTATAGGGATGTCGCAACTCCATGCAAAATTCTATACATGTGGCAAAGGGTCGTATAGAATCAAACCTATAGAAATCGTTTGGAAATGATTTGTATAAAAATATCCGTATAGAAATATCCGAATATCATATACGAAAATCCTGTAGAAATTTTATACGTAATCCGTATAGGAAATTTCTATACGATTTTTTCATACGTGTGTTATCTAACTACTCACACCGCGACTGAGGGCCAACACTTTATTTCACGAGAATTTGTTTTTTTTCCGTTCCAAATGTTCATCAACAAAAAATAAGAAAAAATGGAAATTGGTAATACAATTTCTGTAATATTTTTTACAGAATACTATTTTTAAAAAAGTTGAAATCCTCTATCTTTTGGTCGGTGTCTATCTATTGGCCTGGTTACCCTACACGGAGACTAAAACGTTTTCATTTTCAACATGGAGAGAAATGTTCAGTAGAAATTACGAAACTCACAATTCGCTCACCGATTACGGAATCGATTCAGAAAATTTAAGTGACGGTATCGTAATTTTTCACAGGAGATTCAGTTAAAAATTACGGAACGCTCTGGAAAAATTCCGTGACAGTTCCGTAAAATTTCCTGCAAACACATTTCGCTCCGGAATTACGGAAAAGATACGTAATTGTTATTCAATATTTCTCTCCGTGAAGGACATGTCACCAGGGATTGCCAAATTTGTAATATTCTGTTACAGTTAATATTGTAACCCTCAATTAGATAACATCACTCTTGAAATTTTCTGAGTACTCAAGTATCATCAATTCAAATATTCAAATTTTCAACTATTTTATTAATCAATAATTTGGGTACAATAGGAAGTTTGACGATTACTTGTCTAATCGAATATCCCATTTCANTAGAAATTGTTGTTTTTTGAACAAAAATATCAACTTTAAATTGAACAAAAACTCGGAGAGTGACTTTTTTCTAATGATAAATCTTCTCAATGACACACAACAACATGGCTACCACTAGTGGGTTAAGTTGTAGAGAAGGCCGCTAGAGGCGCTGTACAGCTCATCCGACTATACGTTTACCCGAACGCAGAGCGCATGCCCAAGTGGGGGGAACGTCAGGGCACATGGTGACGCCCACTTTATCGCTCCTAGGATGGGTAAGTGAGATTTACCCTCCTTGGAGCACCGAGCGTCTCATTTACCCTCCTTGGAGCACCGATTATTCAAGTGCCGCGGTAAACTCTCTTTACCCCCTCTCGACAGAGCCCGAGTAAGCGCCGTTTATCGGGCCGAGTGACGAAAATTTGAATTATTCACTTTGTAGTAAATTTACAGTTTCATATTAATAAATTTCAAATATATCATTATTCGTAAAAAATCAGATTATTAATTTTATATTATTTGAAAAATTGAATTAACATATTTTAAACCTTCAATAATGTAAGGGTCAAATCCGTGTAATATTACAGAAATTTAAAATTGATGGGGATCCCTGCATGTGACTGAGTTTCAGGGATTCATCTCTAATTTTGAGGAATCAATCACCAAATTACAGCGACCAGAGTCATTCTAGGCAGTATCCACTATCACAAATAATTGATGATCGATTTCTAAAAATCAGTGACATATTCCAGGAAACGAGTAACATGTCCCTGAAAATCGAAACCTTTTTTCTCTACATAGTCAGACACGTTCACTGGCCACTCCTTATCGAGTTTCTCTCCTTTCCCTCCATTTTCTCTTCTCTTGCTCATCATCCTTGTGACTCGGAAGGGGAAAAGTAGAGGCTTCAAGTAGTGTAGTGTGATTCTCCGCTGACAAAACGGCTTTCCTGGGTCTCAGAGATCCCAAGGGTCCTGCGCTCCGGAAAACTCTATCCTCCCCCTCACATTACGTCTTATCAAGCTACAGAGACGAATGCTGAAGCATTAACTTTCCCTGAATTACCGCTTCGGAATAAAATATTGAGGACATTTTTTTGCCACTCCTTGAAAATGTCTCCTCCACATTGTCATTGAATTTCAGGCTCTCTAACATTGGACTTATCGCGAATGCCACGTGGGAGCAATAGCTCGAAAAACTGTAGTCTAAAGGTCACCGATACAAAATCACCAACGGTCAATCTATTTAAAGTTATGAGAACGAGGGCCTGGTGGCCGTTCAGCTGTGCCACGTCTGACGGTGATTACATTCAAGCGGTAAGCACATTTAACCCCCAGGAATTCTAATAAAAGGCGCTTTCTACGGGGGATTTGTACCGCAGAATAGAATGCACGAGTCCAAAGGAGATGAAAGGATGGAAATAAGCTTTGCGTTGATTACTCCTCACACAGAGGAAAAAAGTGTTATCAATGATAGTTAAAAAAATGGGTTGGTTCTAGAAATGCACAACGATAGAACGAGTTAATTGCTGTTAACGAGACTTCTTGACAATTAGAAAAACTTTCTTGCTTTAATGACGAATTTTTTTCATTTTCATCAATTTTGAGCTTTACCTGAGGCCTGCACTGATAGAACGGATTAGTTATTGTTAACGAATGGATTTTGGTTGAAGATGAGGGTCTATTCGGTCCCACCAAATGTTCATTCGTTAACAGTTAACGAATGTATATTTGAGGAGCCTTGTTTGACTTGACTTTCGCCATTCAAGTGAACCATTCGTTAACTATTAACGAATATTCATTTCGTCATATTCAACTCTACCATTCGTTAATAGTTAACGAATCTTGTTTGGAATAAATGAATCATTCTATCAGTGTGGTTGGATTATCTTTCGGATCTTATCTAGATTGTTTTTTGTCGATTTTTTTGTCTGGAAATTTCCATTCGGTTTTGCATGATGCAGAGGAGCGCAAAAAATCCAGCTGCATGCCAAAAACGTGTTAAAGAATGGTAAATTTTGAAAGAGCGATTTTAAGTTTAGTTGAAGAATAGTGCAAATGATGAGAAAATTAGAAATGTATTATTTACCATGGCAAATGGCGCCGTGTCAACCACCATTGGGGGGAGGAGGATAATCTCTTAAATTCTTTGGTAGACTGATTATAGACAACTGATCTAAAATGGGCTCTTTCAAAATTTATAAAATATTTTTGAATATTTTTTGATTATAATTTCACTATGAAATACTGATCATTCACGGCGTAAAACTGTTATGAAATATGAGGTGCAAATCGGCTTTCACTTTTATGGAGATCCAATAGAAGTGACAGTTGATAATCAAGTAGTAATTTCCACGAATGTGACGGCGGTTTTGCACCTCAATGTTCGTAACCGTTTTACGGGGCGAATAGTCATTATTCCGTAGTGAGAGTGTAATCAAAATTTTTTTTTTAATATTTAAAAAATTTTGAAAGAGCCTTTTTTTGATGGCTTGCCTATGTGCAGTGTATCAAAGCATTTACGAGTTCGTGCTCCTCCCCCTACACGCAAAAAATGGTTTATTTGAATGAAATAAATTTTATTTAAATAAAATAAATCGTTTATTCCAATCTAATAGAGAATTTATTTGATTCAAATAAGGTTTATTTAATTTCAATTAACCTTTTGGCGGGGTATGTAGCGGCGGTAACATGCCATTTGCCACGATAAATAATACATTTCGATTTTTTTTATTTTTTGCATTATTTCTTAATAAAAATGAAAAACGCTCTTTCAAAATTTCCATTTTTTTTTGCTTTTTTTAAAGCATACATTAATATTTTTTACAGTTCTCTGCGCCATGCAAAATCGAATTGAAATTTCCAGAACGACAAATTGACAAAAAAATATCTAAATATTTGAAAGATAAAAAATGAAATTTCATGTTGTGACAGTTGTGATATTAAATTCGATTTAGATGGAAAATAATATGACATTTCAATTTTCACTGATTATAGAAATTAATTGATTAATAGAACTGTTTAATAGAAATTATTTTCTGGATTAAAAAAAATTCAAGTTAGAATCTGTAGTTTCTAGAATATAGAAATTGTTACCTCTAATCGAGATTATTTTTTCTCTCTGTTTACACTTGTTCCACAAGTTAAATGTTTACAGAAGAAGATTTAACGTTTCATTTGTGACCACTTTGGCCCACATTCCTGAAGATCATTAAACAGGAAAGCAATGAATTTTAGGGCTGAATGTTAAAACAAATGAGGGCACACTAGAAACCGCAGGTTGAGCTAATAACCACAGGGTAAAGATAATTCAAGGGGAAACAACGAATAATTACAGAGAATCGCTAGAGGCATGTTGTTACTCGGCAAATTCAGACAGTACTAATTAGGTAACCACTGCCAATTAATATCACCGAGAATACTGAATCCATTTGAGGAAGGAGGAAGATGGTCATTGGAGCGAATTCATGGGAATTATGCTCCCGAGATTATTCAATGACAATGGAAGCCAATCATAATGTCGACAATACTGAATTCGAATTGGTGTTATCTGTACGATTGGGGAATATATCAATCGAGAGGTAGATTGATTGTGAATATACGTCTCTTGTTTACTCAGACAAGTACCCTCATCATTGTCCAGTCTCAATCGACATGACCCGTTGCCGATTGTAACGGTTGATAATGTACACGGGGATGAAAATTCGGTGAAAATTATCCTAGCATTTTATAGAAGTGTGTTATGAGTCATCTACCTCTCATTTCTATTCTAAAATTAAGTCGAAATTCAACAATAAAGCTGTTAAATATTAAAGCTCGATATAGGGTAGCTGGTGCCTGTACCCACGGACGAAAAAATTTAATAGAAAAACCTATCGAATTCGTTAGAAAATTCTCTTGAATTTCTATTGAACTGTTCTATTGGTTTTTGGCCGACTCTGTTGAAATGTTCAATAGAAAATATTCAGTAGAAAAAGTCAATAGAATTCAATTTTTATTCTATATAACTTATTCTCTTGAGATACTTTCTATAGAATCTCCTCGGCTCAAATTGTCTAATTTTTTTCGTTTGATTTTCTTCATGAGAAGAAAAGAAAAATAGAATGAAAAAAAATTAGAACATTTGAGTCAAGCCAATTCTATAGAAACTGTATGAAAAGAATAAGTTATATAGAAAAATCGGATTCTGTTGACTTTTTGTATTGAATGTTTTCTATTGAACATGTCAATGGAATCAGTCAAAAACTAATAGAAAGTTTAATAGAAATTCAATAGAATTTTCTAACGAATTCAATAAGTTTTTCTATTTAACTTTTTCGTGCGAGCCACCCAGCGGGTAATACCGCCCACCCGTATTTCTCAGGATTGGCTGAGAAAAAAATCTTTTCTTTTCTTTCTTATGCAAATATTTGATAACAAAAAGTAATTTCAACAGATTTTTTTAATTTTCTCCCATCGAAACATCGTTAAAAAAATCCAAATCCTTTCCTATCGAATTCTTAAAACATTTCGACTCCAGAATTAAAAAATTTTCAAATTTTCAGTTGGTCCATAATTGAATGGAGTGTGAAATATATGTTCGTTATACATTTCGACATCCATTGAGACCTTTTCGATAGCAGAAAAATATCTTCATCAGTTATTAGTCGCTATTATATCAGCCTCCGCGTTTGTGGGTAATTCCGCCCAGAATTTGGGGGTAATGCCGCCCAGGGTTTCTATAGGGCTGCTAGACTCTGCAGCTAGAGGACGGTCGAGTGACAGCTCGATTGTTTGGGGTAGATGGTGGTCACTGGAACATCGGGTAAATTCAGGATAATTAATTATTATTCACGTGAAATCTTTTTCAAAATGGAGCCAAAAAATGGAAACGAAGGATGAAAATAGGAAAAATTATAAGAGTTGGTCTGCATTGCTCAAAAAAGTCATCAAAACAAGGTGGAGGGTATTGGACGGCTGCCGGGCGGTATTACCCTCAAAGTTCGATTCCATCGCTCACTGGCCGATGGCAATTGAATTGCATCATTAAATATGTTTAACGTTAATAAAAAAATCTTCGTCTTCACATCTTCGACTAAACACCTCGAAAAACCCATTCTAACCGTTTATGACTCCTTGTAGAGTGCGAGGCTGGAAAAAAAGACTCATTTTCCCTAGGTGGGTGGTACATGCACCAGTTACCCTTCAAGATGTACCAAACGGTAGACCAAAATTTTAATGCATGAAACACTGTTGTAATTGTTGCAAATCAAAATGCAGTTAAACTAATCCAAGTTCAAAAGTAACCACGACAAATCTATCGTGAGGACAACTATAAAATGGTTGCAATGACTACATTCCATTGTAGTAATTACTTCTCCGGCCATAGTTACCGTAACCCATTAAAAATTGTTGAGGACTTTTTGACTACTATATATCATTCGATGGTGATGGAATATAGTCAGAAGAATTATATTTTTCTCTCAGTGAAGAAGGTGAAATTCCGAAACGAAAGTTCCTCTTCTATTTTTGGTTACAGGCGATAGTTAACGGGTTGTTAATTAATAAAGTTAAAAAATGACTGGGACGATAGGCTAAGAGTGCCAAGTGACGGTAGAAGTGGGAAAAAGGTAAAGGAGATGAGCAATCGCTTCTCTCGAGCATATAAAACTGAGAAGAATCATCTCCACCGGGGATATCCCAATTTATATGATCAAAGTTGGAATTACGTGCGTGTGGGAACCCCTTCTATCTGCTGGGGTTCGTGACTAACTCGTCTGCAGCAGCATGGGGTAGAACTGGAATCCGGGGGATTTGTTCGTTACCCAGGCGTAAGCCTGAGCAACGTTGATTACCGGACTCAGGCCTACGCTGTTGCAGCGAGGGGGTAGTTACCTGTGGGCTACGCTTTTCCATATCCCCTATGACCCCTCACCTCCCTCCCCGGGGCCATGCCCTCGGTCATCACTTGATCGTGAACTAGATTAGTTAACCGAGAGGAGACTGCAGGGAGAGCTCATCGTGCCAACGGCCGACACAGCCGATGCTCAACTAGATGAACCGGACCATGTTTTCGGCAATCACTTTGATACGACGAATCGTTATCGCAATTATTAATTATTTTGATTGGCTTTATCGCTGCATGAAAAAAACATTGTCCTAAAAATCAATGAACTTTTCCGTTAATTAAAGGTCACTTCACATATTGTTACGAAAAATTGAAACTTTATGGACCATATGATAGTAATTTTCATTTTCAAGGCTTCGAGTGATATTGGCTCATTGGTTTTCTGTTCAAATGATCGCAAATCAATAAAACACTTGATTTTTCAGTTCAATTATTCCGTAAAAATTCAGAAAAATCAGGAAAATTCTATGAAAAATTGACAATTCGCCATTTTATATGTGAATATTCATGTTCCACTGAAAATTCAATCAAATTGTTAAATTCCCATGTCACTCCCGCTGAAAACTCATGAATTTCCGTGAATTCTACTTAAAATTTGCAATTTCATAACCATTTTTTCCTTAAATCCGATTCAATGTCGCTCACACGAGATTTACTATAATATCTTCCATGAGATTTGGAAGAAACTTCTAACAGTGTATTTGGTGGTAGTACTTTTTATGCTGATCAGAAGTAATTTTTTTTTAGAGGACAATCTCCGTAATTTGACACTGAAAACAGCACACGGAGAGAAATATTCAACAAAAATTACGGAACATTTCACGTAATCTGTAAGCGAGAATCATTTTCAGTGAATTTCTATAGGAATATAAGAGAATAAATCTGAAACGTTCAGTAAATTTTCGGGTCTGTCACCGAAAAAATACGAAAAAGTCACGTAATTTTTCTGGAAGTTGTAAAATCTAACAGAAACTTCAAGACTTATTATGCCTCAGAACATGAAGATTCGTGGATGTTTAAGAATTTTTACGAAAAGTTCCGAAAAAATTGCGGAACGTGTTGTTAAAATCTCCCCCTCACGGTGACTCATGGCTAGCCGTGGGGCGTCGGACGGATGAGTAATTTTTACGGAACAGATGGTAGAATTTACGTGACGATTGACACTTTTTATTGAATTTTACTTCGCTCCCAGATTACATTTCGAAACGTAATTTTTACGTCTTTTTTCTAATTTTTATTGAATATTTCTCTCCGTGCACCTTTTAGTTGAATAGAAATTCGTTACCTTACCGGTGTAACAATAATTCTAAAATAATCCTTTTGTAACTCCAAAGAAGACCAATAAAAGAATGCTAATTATAAGGCAAATGAAAATTTTCTGAAATCCAAAAAGAATTTCGATTGAATCCCAAAATGTTATCGTGATCATTTCCAAGGGGTGGGATGAGGGGGAAGGGATGGGATGGGATGATGGATTCTGGGTCATTTATTGAGCCTTACATGACAACCATCTCCCCCAACTTCATAATCTACCCACGGTTCATCATTTTGTGAAGCGTCATTCAGTAAAAACATTTTCAACGGAAGAGATATCGAAAGGAATTTCGAGGATCTTATCATGAAGTTGACGTGTTTTGTGTGTTGTTTCAGGGTAAAGTGGAAATGGAAATGACGATAGTTCCAGCAGCGGAAGCTGACAAGGAGCCCGTGGGAAAGGGGAGGGAGCCACCAGATCCACTTCCGCCACCCGAGTAAGTAACACTTGCACGCAATCCCCAGGTCCCACCCCATAATGTCATCAACATTTTTCTTTCTCCATCACTGGGGAGACTTCACCCCAAGACGTTCACCAGTCTCTTAAATTCCTTATCACAATGCCCCTAAATTGCATATTTCCACAAATAATGCCTCACGGATATTAGAGCCACGAGGGCTGGGTCACGTATTTGGTTCCGAGGTCTTGAGCACTTGAGATTTCTCTATTCTATTACGCTCCTACTGGTGCTCACAATAAAGCTAGGAACAGAAGTTTCCAAGTGACGATTGTTATCGAATGTAATGAGCTTGCGTGCTCAACGATTGTGTGTGTATGGTATGCTGGTAAAATATGGAGTTTGAGGAAAGCAGGTGGTTGAGACAGTGCACGGAAAGCGGAAATACCTTGCAAATTGCTGGAGAAAACTAATAAATGAAAAAAAAGAAAGCGTTTCGCTGCGACAGGTCTCGTCCGATGTTCGTTTTGAAGATCTAAGAAGTTTGCTTTGCTTCGCGGCAAGTGTATAACACCCCCTCTGTATTGTATCACAGTTACAGCAGGATCACTGCTGCACATGTGCGCACATATGACGAAAAGAAAAAGAAATATAATGCCATAAGCCCAGTAAAATTGAGTTATAACAATCTTATTTTCTCTGTTGCAGCCGACCCGACACTTCATTCTCTTGGTTTCGTAATCCCTGGAAAGCTTGTTGCTTCGTTGTCTGCCGGCATTACAGATGGCGCATCATCCTCTGCTCCTCCATGTTTCTCATTGTCATGCTATTGGTTTGCGCAATTTATGCATTCCCCGGTTATCTGGTCAAGAAGTTACTAGCTGTGTAATTGAATTTGAGAAATACAATTTTCATGAATTTAACCCATCAATTACTGTGAAAACTTTTACCCCTCGAGTCGCAATTAAATGCTGCATTTGGCCGAGTGCTTGAGCGTTATTGCTGGTAAGTTTGGAGTCTCACGAACCGAAGATTGGATCTAAACAGCTGGAGAGTTCTCTTCAAGAATCCAAAGTTATGCGATGGCCAGAGGTTGGAGACAGTCCTCCAGCCGATATCAAGTTCCTGTCGTCTATTCGGCTGGGGATCTCGGCATCAACCTGATCATCTTTATTACCTTCGCTGGCCTCAACATTATGCACCAGGATTTCCGAACCATCTCACGACAATGCAAACTAAACATCTAAACCGGACGTTCCACCCACATCTCGACCTAAACTCTCCGTCAACTCCATCCCCCAAAAACCGAACAACAACAACTCCATCACAAACTCCTCCATCATCGAATTTCCCCCGGAAATTGAGGCATTCCCCTGCACTTCCCATCTCCCCTAGTCACACCACATGCAAATAGAATTGCGTCTGACATGCCATTCAATTTGATCAGCAATGTTAAACGTTAACAATGAAAGGGGAAAAAACACCTCGAAAAATGCACGGAGAAGATAAAATAGTAAAAATTACTATGTCCGAATTCGTACATAGTGAACGTTTTGTAAGTATTATTATGGGCATGGTAATGGCTACCATGTAACATCGTAGTGGTTACTATGGGACATAGTAAGCATTACTATGAGGCATAGTAAGCATTACTATGGGACATAGTAAGCATTACTATGGGACATAGTAAGCATTACTATGGGGCACAGTAAACATTACTAATTAGTGATAGTTGCAAACCCTTTCACTCTGTTACCATAGCAATCTCTGCTATGGCCATGGTAATGTTTACTATTCAATTCCCTCCGTGTAAAGTATGAAATCCTTATCGATCTGGCATATAATTGCATTGAAAATCCCCCAGCCGTTTGGTGTACAGCTACGAGTCAATTGCATACACAATGCTCTCGCTCTATTGAAGATGTAAATTCAAGGGAACTGCAGAATGCAGTTGCGTGTGTATTGGATCGGTTGTGTATATGCAGTAGGCTGCACAGACTCTGATTCTGGTTTTCGTATGTGTCAAAGCCGTCGGACGGAGGTTTTGGCTCGGGAGTCGCTTGAACGCTTCACTTATACACACGAATAAATAGACGAGATCGTGTGGGTAGCCGAAAGCTCACTGAGGTGTTTCACCTGCAGGTTAGTTGCGGAGGTCGAACGATGCTTCACGTATATAGGGTGTAATCATTTGCGGATGGATGAGGGGAGTTGCGAAGGAAGTGGATGAAGGTGCGAGGCTGGAAGGAGAGAGAGGGAGAGGACACGACCCTAACCTCAAGAAATCAATAACTCCTACGTTTTACACCTGAGGACCATACTTCTCCTCGGTGAGGAGAACCATGATAATCTAGGGTCTTACTATTCATTACTCGTGTTGCACGGTGAAAGCCATTAAAAGGTACTTGCCGGGATGGTGTGAAAGAGCGTTGATATAACGCAATGCCTGCGAGCTGTCCAACCCTTTCATGTTGGTGATGATAAAACTGTTCTTTTATTCAAGGGGATACAATGGAAAGCAATGGATGGTTTTTTTTAATCGAGCCAGTGATATTTTTGTAACATCTACCTGAGACGTTTCATTTCATGAGCGTCCAACGGCACGTTACAGGATTAAATTCGATTCATAATAATTAAGCTCATTGTGACAAAACATGTCACAATGAGCTTAATTATTATCCTAAGGCAAAACAACGCATGGCGGAAAGTACATACAATGACTGAAGTATGTGGTGGTTACATATGAGACAAGTTGGATAGAAATTACCTAGAACATCGTTAAAAATTTTAGTATACGAATGGTAATCGTGGAACGAAATGTAATTCAGTGATAAAATACTGGTTTTTAGTGAATATCTTACGATTTTCTCGGTAAAAAAATACATCTGTGGATGGCAAAATTATCCTCCTGCTTAGTAAAATTGACCACACCGACAGGAAATTGTTTGCAGGGACGGACGGAAGTGAATTTTTACCAACCGGATTCGGTAAAAATCATTCTCCGTTACAAAAAAATTAGACGAAAAATTGGAGCAATTATTCACGTTCACTGGGATAATTTTTGATGGGGTAAGGGTAAATTTGACAGTTTCGGTACAAATCACCCTCACGTTTAGTAAATTTTCCCGGGACAACGGAGTAAAATTCACTATTAATCTCGCACTTTTTCTCCTATTTAAGGTGAAAAAGTACTGGAAATCGAGGTTGCTCCACGATCACTTAACTCCGTGTAGGACTCCTAAATTGCCAAATTTAATTCTGATGGCTTGATTTAGGAAAGAGATACTGTCGATTGAAGACGGTCCGTCCCACCCAACTCTCACCCAGACATTTAGGGGAGACCGGGGCAAAGCTGGGCGGCCGGGGCATAGTGGGGTACATAAAAAAAGGCCACAATTGATAAATTCAAGGGATTGACGAGGGATCAATCAAGGATCAATAAACAGTGAAAAAGTGCTAAAAAAACCCGAATATTACTGAGGAAAAATTTAAAAAAAATGGAAGAACTTTGGAAATTCTTATTGGGTATTTTGATTAAAACGCCTACCGATTTCAGAGTTTATCTGCCGTTTTTTGGGGGATTCGAAGGTGAAAACAAAGAAAGAACATTTAGAATTTTTTTTCACGTTTTTAGACACTACCCCACTCTGCCCTCAATGGTAATACGTTGGAGACACGAGTTGATAATTTTAGAATGTAAATAGTGATTGCTAAAAAGCAATATAAGTATGATAGAAGCTTTGACACCCGCCTCATTGTCTTAGCTACCCCGCTTTGCCCCGGACTCCCTCACTTCTTTCGGAGGAATTTGATTTTTCTTTTCCTCGAGTTCAGCTCATGCAGCAAACCTCCCACTCGTCATAACCAACAACCACTTATAGCCTTTATATCGCAATGTACTATTTCATTGCATCTGTAGACGTACTAGATAATCCGAGATTACCTCGACTCGTTTCAGGATAGATGAATGGATCAGCTTTTCTCGAGGCACATGAAGGCCAGGATTAACAAAGTCAAAAGAAATTACCGGGTAACTTTATTCATTTCAACTTTCTTCGGGACTTTGGCGTTTTTTATTCACTGGGAAACAAAGTGAAGATAGTTATTGGAGCTGAACCGGATGAAGAAGGAGATAAAGGTGGAGGGACTGATCTGACTGGAGAGTTATTGAGTTTGAGCGTCTGAGCAGAAGCCAGTGACTCGAGATTTAGCGATTGCTTTCCAACATTATTATCGTTTAGTTATTCATTAGAGTTGCGACATGCAAAACTCGGGGGAATCGATAATTCTTTTTATGGAATTCGTGAGGACAGCCTTCGGGTGAATGATCGAGCGGTTGGATACAAGGATTTGGGAATTGTGATTCCATTGTTCATGGATGTTCCTCGCGTGTCCTGCCTTGTGCGAGACCTGAATTGCCTGGCACTAGGCCAATTACAGTGGAACGACAGTTTTGGGTTTGCTATTACTACGTCACGAGAGCTCGTTTCAACTCGTCTTTTTTTTAAACCAATCTAAAACTCCTGCATATGTTTCATCTTTTCACGAGGGAGGCTTCAGCCTGATAAATTGCCCCAACTTTTTACAAATTTTTTCCCGCTTCATTGCATTCGTCTGTCCTCGGAGGATATATTTGCTCTTGGCTGCATTGCACATTTTTTTTCACTAAAAATTAGACCATCTATACATATTCAAGAGGCATAATTCCGATTGACGGTCGGGGGAAGGCGGGTAATTGTTGTTGCAAACCTGTCAGGTGGGAGCTGCATCCAGAAAAATGATTTATTTGGTTCAAATAAAGTTTTTTTTTCAAACGAAATAAAAATTTTATTGGTAGTTTTGTTTATATTAAATAAATGTTTTTTAGTATTGATAAATATTTATTTGATACTAAAAATTTATTATAGCTTTAAAACGAAAAACATGCAATAATTATTAAGGGCTGCACATACATCACGTATGACATTTAGGGGGAGGAGTGAGGGAGGGGGGAGAAATTTCTTTTACATGGTTTTACTATGAGGGAGACGATGGTGAAAGTAGGCTGTATCTGTTGGAGTAAAAAGTGTAATCAAAAATTGGATCAGAATGATTCCAGAGAGCTCAAATCGCCCAGATTTTTCGTTGCCTGGATTAGACTTATACGACCTTTTTCCACATAGCCCACGAATATTGTTGAAACACTTTTGAAATTCTTCCATGAAATACATGAAAATGTGCACTGTTAGAAAATTACGCTTGAAATTTCAAATGAAAAAGCTTGAAATTTTTAACAACGACAAAGTTACATGAAATTTTTGTATATTTCTTCATTGAAGAATCAGTTTATTTCTCGAATATTCAAGTAATTCTCGATTTTCAAATCTATAAGCCACTGAAAAACCTTGAAAATTTTGAAAATTCAGGCAACTTTTTTGAATTCTCAATTTATTGAGATTTAAATTGTATGTGATGTTCAATTTGCACGATGAGTTCGGAAATTCAAGCTTTCATTGAAAAATCAATGATTGTTTAACATGAAAAACCCAATTTTTCAGTTGAAATCAAATTCAACCTGACAACACCGAAAATTCAGATAGCGCTGTGACTGAAATTTCAAGGAATTTCTAACAGTGTGATTTTCTTAAAATTCGAAAACTGTTTATTCGAACTAAATAAATTGTTTTTTTTTTAATTTAATAAAAATTTTTTTTGGAACAAATAAATTATTTGTTTAATATAAGTAAATCCTTTTTCTTGAAACAAGTAAACAAGTTTATATTATTGATTTGTAATAAAAATATTCTTAAAATACGTAAAAAATTCCAAACAAAGATTTTTCTTTGATTAACAAAAAAAACATTTTTTTGGGTGTGAAAGAAAGGTACAATGAATTACTAGCATTAGGAG